TTTTTAAATTTGGTTTGCTATTTTTAGGCTACAAGAACACAATTTGAACATGATTTCGAGCCTCCTTTCATGGGTGGGAAACCTCATTAGGGCTCTAATTTTTAAATATTTGACAAGCAATTAGCATTACAAATGGTTTTAGACAGTTTTGGCTTTCTCAGAGATTGAAAGGTGAAGATGCTCCTTTCTTCTGATGGCAAAAACATTTCTTATTATGATCGCAAATATGATGAACACTATGTGATGCATATTTATAAATCATGTCACCTTAAAAATTAAATGGGGCTGGGGTTGTGGCTCAGTGGTGAGGCACTTGCCTAGCACATGTGAGGCACTGGGTTCAATCCTCAACACCACATAGAAATAAATAAATAAAACAAAGGTATTGTGTTTGTCTACAACAGGGAAAAATTTTTTTAAACTTAAATGAACATTACCACAATAAGGGGAGCCATTGTTCTGAAGTGGTGTTTCAAAAAGCAAGTAAATCAGTCAATTAAAATTATGCAGTTTTTTAAAGCCAGTCACAGTGATACATGCTTATGATTCCAGTAACTTGGGAGGACGAGGCAGGAGGATTGCAAGTTCAAAGCCAGCCTCAGCAACTTAGTGAGAATCTGCCTAAAAAAAAAATGCAGTTTTTTTCTTAAGATATTTTGATCCTCGCATTTTTAGAATTGTTCCCTTCTTATAGGCTCTCAGGCCCTTTCTTAGTACTAGTTAGCCATTCAGCCAACTGGATAGAGCACCTGCTATATATCTTCAGCAATTACTATGTAAGAGAAATACAAAGTGAATAAGAGCCAGGGATCAGATACAAGAGGCACACAATTGAGTAGATCAAATATGCACCTGAAATGGTCAAAATGCACTTTTACTGAGTAAAGAGACATTGAAGTCAAAAATGCATATATTACTATTGAATTTTGAAATTATGCTTAATTGTACTGAATGAATGTCAATTCATGAAAAATATGATTCTTTTTTCCAATATGAATGTTTTAAAATATTTTTCGTTGTTGATGGACCTTTATTTATTCATTTATTTTTATGTGGTGCTGAGAATTGAACTCAGTGCCTCACACATGGGAGGCAAGCACTCTACCACTGAGCCACAACCCCAGCCCTCCAATATGAATCTTGATCGCAGTATTTATTTGCATGTCTGTTCTTACTGTCCTCATTGCCTAGAATGCTCTTCCTCTCCATCCTCACCTGATGAAATTCTACTTTCATTTAAGGGCCAGTTCAAAGGCTCCTAATTCTATGAATCTGAGGCTTACCCCATCTTGGCTTGTCTGTTGGACTGGAGACTAGAGTCCCACTCCTTAGAATTTCATGAGTGATACTTCTCCTTCCTTCTCTCTGGTACTTCTCTTCTGTCTTCTTTCATGTCTGTTCTTCTCTGACCTTTTTTGAAATTCTCTTTGGAGGATCAAATGTCTGGGAATTCTGATTCTGTGGTCTTAATTACCTGCATTGTATGATCCCCTCAAGGCCTAATCTTCTAGTAACTACCCCTTATTTGAGTTGTAGCTCCATTTCTCAAGCAGATTTCTGGACATATCCACTTGAATGTCACTATCACCTCAAACTCATCTTCACTCCTATCCTCTACTCTCACCTCAGTCTCCTTATTTAAATCCAGAGATTAAAATCTCTTCTGAGACTTTAGGGCTCTAAATGACTTCTTTGAGTTAATCTTTTTCTTTTTACATATATCCAGTCAGGCGGATCTGACCTTAATTTAAATCTTACGTCTTCATGAAGACGTCTCTGCTCCCTTATCTGGAGCTTTTCATGCTCCAAATTCACATGTTCTACTCAATTTATATCAGAAGTGGAGCTGAATATGACATTTGACTGTTTCCTGTAGGCTAAAATGAATGAAGTCCTGTTGTTCTTCATTGGAAACAGTTCTCCTTTCTTCTCTTCCTATTCTCCAACTCCTTCCCCTGTCCGCTCTCTTCATCTCTCCTCACCTAGGTGAAACGAGTGCCTCCTAAGTGTCCTCCCTCAACATGCATATTTGTGCACCCTGTCTCAATGCTTATGATCATAGAGAATGTTCTTCTCCCTCTTCTCTGCTTAGCTAAATTATATTCATCTTCTAAGAGCAGGCTCACTGCCTACTTCTAACTAGCCAATATTCCTGGATCTTCCAGTACTCATGGAAGATTCTCTTCTGTGTGAGGGGGTGTTGAGTATAGAGGCAAAAAGTATATATATTGGATCTAACAAAACCTGGATTTGGGTCCCAGTGATGTTTACTCACTGTGCAAGCTTAATTTCCATGAGCCTCAGTTTTCTCATTTATAAAACAGAAAAATCACTTTACCTTACAGAGTTGTTGCAGGACTAAATAAGATCCTGCAAATAACATATCTGGCACACGGGACCAAGGTTGTCTTGTGACCAAGGTTGTCTTGAGTGTCTTGCAAGGCTGATATACTACACTCAATTCCAGGGTGTTGCTGCAAAGATGGTCCTTTGTATTTGTGAAATGCTCTACTTGCACACTGTAATCTCAACTCGAACATAGTAGACCTGATGTGCTTAGTATTATTTGCCAAGTTGCATATATCTGTTTTACTGTTTAATGATCTGTAATCAGAGGAAAGGATGGGGCAGGAAGTGCTACTTCTCTTCCTCATGGTTTCATCTACTGTTGCTTCTCTGACCCCATTGCTCACCACCATCATCTGTCCCTCCACCATGCCTCCATTGTATTGGACTGGGCTTCTTGTACTTTGATGACCTCGGCCCAGTTTCTCATGATTTTGCACAAGCCCATTCTCTGGATTGCAATAGCCTCTATAGCCTCTAGCTCCTTAGACATCTATATCTATTTCCCCATCCCAATTAGATTTGTTTTCCATTGCATCCTTGGCATCTAACATAGTGCCTGGCACAAAGGAAAGGTGCGAGAAATACTTGTTCCATGAATTCACTGCTTTCAGGAATCATTACCTGGATCTCCTCCAGAAGGGGCAGGATTTTAAAATGAACCATTGTGTTTCTTCAACTATCCTGACTGCATTTCTAATATCTACTCATCTAATGCACTTAGCCAACGTTAACATGTGCAAATGTTGTGCTAAAATATCATCTGTTTCTTTAAAAATTTTTATTGACAAATCAAAATTATATGCACTTGTAATGTACAATATGATATTATGAAAGCAGATTCTTTTTTAATATTCTTTTAGTTGCTGATTGATCTTTTTTATTTTTTATTATTTTTTTTAATACGTGGTGCTGAGAATCGAACCCAGTGCCTCACACAAACCAGGCATGTGCGCTACCACTGAGCTACAGCCCCAGACCTGAAAACAGATTCTTAATAGGTGCATGTTTCTTAATCACTCTGTGGCTCAGTTTCCTTATTTTTAAAATAGGTGTGATGAGAGTACTTCTCTCATAAGTTGTAGTAAGGATTCAATGAAATGCCTCTGCTATCTGGAATGTTTTCTCTTCAGATCATCAATGGACTGACTCCTTCATCACATTCAAGATTCAATTCACCTGTAATCCCAGAAACTTGGGAGCCTGAGGCAGGAAGTTCAAGGCCAGCCTCAGCAACTTAGTGAGATCCTGTCTCACAATTTTTTTTTAAAGGTCTGGGCATGTAGCTCTGTGGTAAAGTGTTTCTGGGTTCAATCCCTGGTAGCAAAAAAAAAAAAGAAAAGAAAAAAATTCAAATGATGAGTCTTCAGAGGCCTTGCCTGACCACTCTCATCTGACCACACTCTGGCCCTTTCATCAGTTTTCTTCTTTATTTAAAGCTTTCCATGGCATGTGTCACTATCTGAATTTATCTTTGTTTACCTACTTGTTTACTAGCAGTGTGATTGGCTTCAATTTCTGAGTCTTTCTCTGCTCAATGACATATTCTCAGTGTCTAGAGCCATGCCCAGTATGTAATAGCACTGAAAAAATGAATATTTATTGAACAATTTACTTATTCTTATTCCCCTGAAGCCTGTGAGAAAGCTAATGGAATCCAAACTTTGGTGAAATTTTTATGATCATTATGTTGGGGGGCAAAAACTTTCAAAGTATTATCAGGTTGTGTCTAAAGCATAATATGTATCTCTGAACTTCAGGGACTTGCCACTTAGCTAATGGAATGTGATGTGTATGATTCTTAGAACCACTGGTGAAAATCACCAGAACAACCTATGCTGAATCAGCTTTTTGTCACTGTGATCAAAATACATAAGAACAAATTAAATGAAGAAAAGTTTATTTTGGCTCATGGTTTCAGAGGTTTAGTCCATGTTTGGCCAACTCCATTGCTCTGAGCCTAAGGTGAGGTAGAATATCATGGCCAAAGGGCTTGGCAGGGAAGATACACCCTTCCAAGGCATGTTCCCAGTGGCCCACCTCCTCTAGCCATGATCTACCTGCCTACAGTTACCACCCACTAATTAGTCCATTCAAACTAGGATGGGCTGATGAGGTAGCAGCTTTCACAATCCAACCATTTTGCCTCTGAATATTCCTCTATTAACATAGGAACTTTGGAGGTACATTTCATATCCAAACCATAGCACATGCTTGCATGCATGAAAAGTGATATATAGCTAATGATCAAACTAAAAAGGCATATCACTAAGTTATGTTACTGGTACACAGAATAAGAAAAATGAGTATACAGATGGAGAGACAGATGGAGAAGGCTTTCTTGGAGAAACTTAAATAAGAGAGAAGTCATCCTAGAGAGAACAGACACTAATATTTGTAAACCATGTAAATAGTGCCTGGCTTGTAATAAAAGTGTTTGTTAAATAAAAACACTCAACTGGTATTTTCATGCTACCAGAATTTTATTTTTTTTCCTTTATAAAGGTATAAAAATACAAAATCAAGAAGTTACTATGAGTTGCCATTTCTCAAAATTGCTCCTAAGAGGATCACAGGGCATTTATTTATATGATATCAGAAAATACTACAAACTAATTCTAGAAATGGCATCTTCAGGAGAGACCCCATACTTATTACATGGGTTCAATCAGATCATCTGAGGGAAGACACCAGTCTTCACAAACACTAAGAAAGTAAGAAGACCGCACAGGATGGGTCACCTCAGCCTCTGCTTGGTTATGTGAGGCCGGGGTACGCCGTTCATTAGAGACGCAAGGTGGACAGTCACAGTTGGGCCTTTCGCTGGACTGTGACAAGCTGAACACGCTGTAGCACGCGTCACCATTCTTGGCTGTGGCTGCACTATCGCTGGCTGTTCTCAAAGGAGAGGGTAGAGTGAGCCACGGGGACCGTTGGGGGGCAGCGCATGACACAGGGATCACATACTTAGAGGAGGTACCCTTAGAAGCATAGTGCAACTCAGTGCTGTAGATGACCATATCCTGAGAGACAGCCTTGACTCTGATGCCACATTCAGTAACACGGTAGGTAAACTGGTAGAAGTGTGGCTGAACATGGTTGGCGGGGCAACCCAGGCCCAAATGCAGCTCATAGAAGTGTACATAGACATCGTTGTTCAACATGAAGGGGTGGACCGTGACCATGAACCAATCAATGGAACACAGCACAGTCATGGGATTTTGCCCAGAGCAGGCTGAAAACAGAGAGGCAAACAAGATCATGCCCCCGACCACGTTGAAAACTTTCATCTTTGCAGCCAATCAGGTGACAATCCACAGGAAGCAGGAGGATTCCAACAAGGATTTCTAGAACACACAAAAACACAAGAGGTAACAGCTTATTTTCTATTGAACATTCAAATATGATTTTTTCTTCTTTTTTTAAGCAAAAGTTTGTTCCTAAAACATTAAGAAGAAAAACTAGGTACACTAGCATAAACCTGTAATTCCAGTGAATCAGGAGGCTGAGACAGGAGGATTACAAGTTCAAAACCAGCCTCAGCAACTTAGCAAGGCCCTAAGCAACTCAGTGACACCATGTCTCTAAATAAAATATTAAAAAAGGTTGGGGGATGTGCTTAGTGGTTAAGTACCCTTGGGTTCTTAAAAGATAATAAGTGTCTAAGATATGATATCAGAAAGAGGTGAGAAGCAAAGAAGGAAGGAATAAGGAAGAAAGGACATCAAATGTCCAGCTCAGTTTTCATTTTAAAAGTGGAAATGATATATCAAATTCAAAGTGCCTAAAATTTAGAAGAAAATTTCTATGCATAAGGGTAGGGCTCCACTTTTGTTCCCAGCTGCAGTAAGTAAAGAAGAGATAAGTAACCCTTGCTTAAAGGAATTCATTTTTTAGTAATATTTATTGAGTGCCTACTATGTGCAAAAAAAAAAAGTCTTGGGATAAAAAGCATCCCCAAACATTCTTTCTTCCTCTTTCCCCAGTTTCAAAATTGCAGCTCTTTCTCTTCATTTGCTAGTGATGGATTTGCTGCATTCTTTAAGGGAAACCATAGCATAGGAGCCGTCTAGCAAAGTGCACTGGCCTGGATGAAATGCTTTGTTTATGAGGACAGCTCACTCTGGGCTCTCTCTTTAATGACTCCTCATTCTCTTGGGGGTGTTGGGGTATAAAGAGAAGCCAAAAGACTCTGCCCAGTTCTTTCCTTTCCCCTTTGTTCATTCATGACTCTCCTTGGGCAGTTTTTTCATTTTTCACAAAGCAAAAATAGAATAGCAGCAACACACACAAGAACCCTGTCCCCTCACCCCCCAAAACAAAACGAATAAAATAAAACAACAAAACAAGTAAATTCTGATGGGAAGTAGTCCTAGATGACTCAATAGTTAAATAAACAAACCACTTATGATGTGGGATTTTTGCTGAAGTTTCTTTGGTAAGCTAAGAAAATTACCTCTTCACTACTACACCATTGTCTTGATCTAAAGGAGACCACTTAGTCCTAAGCATGCTTTACAGGTGGCTTTCTCTCCCTCTCCCTTTCTTTTTCCCTTTTTTTTTTTGGTGTGTGGTGCTGGGGATTGAACCCAGGGCCTTGTGCATGTGAGGCAAGCACTCTACCAACTGAGCTACATCCCTAGCTTTCCCTTCTTCTTTCTCCTTATTTCTTTCCTAATCATCATCTCACAGCCTGGACCCTTCTGTCCTGAATGAAAACATCCTGAATAGACTAAGGAAACAATCTTTTCAACCCATTTTTGTTGTTGAAACACTCAAACTGAGGCCCAAGGTGAAGGTTGTTCTTGTCTGGGGAGTTAAACCCTCAGTTTCCTCTCCCTCTTTAAGCATGTTTCCTATATTGCTCTCTTCCCTCTCCCTCTCATGGGTAATTCAAATAAAGGTACAAAATGGCCAGATTCTCTGAGAAACAAGACAGTTGACTCCCAAGCAATCATTTTAGACTACCTCCCTACTCTGAATCAGGCTGAAGGAAGGGGTTGGGTGACATCACTGAGTTTGGGGATTCATTTAGGCCAAATCTCCAAACTTGGACAGGACAGGATATAATTTGTTTCCACTGATTTTCTTAAAGCCTGGAGTGGATTGCTATGTGATGTGAGCAAAAAACAGATGCCTGTGTGTGTGACAACATATCTTTGAGCTCAGAAAAACAACTATCAGGGCTGGGGCTATGGCTCAGTAGTAGAGTGTTTGTCTAGCACATGTGAGGCACGGGGTTCCATCCTTAGCACCACATAAAAATAAACAAAATAAAGGTATTGTGTCTATGTACAACTAAAAAATATATTTAAAAAACTTTATGAAGAAGTCAATGGCATCAACATTTCAGGCTGTGCAACTCTGAGGTGAGATTGAAGAAGGGGAGATGGGAAGGACAGTGCAATGCACTTGCTAATGTTTAGCTCAATGCTACACTTTTGAGACTGGCTCTTGTTTGCTGAGTATAAGTCATCAAAACAGGCAGCTTCCCTTCCCCGGCTGCCTACAGTTCCCAGAGAAGGGGAGGTGGGATGTGTGTGTGTGTGTGTGTGTGTGTGTGTGTGTGTGTGGTGTGCTGTGTATCTGTGTGTTGGGGGATGGTTATAAGGCTGTCACAACACTGTGTGAATTGATCAAGATCAGCTGGCTTTTCTAACACCTAGCTGGGATGTGCTGGCAGAATGGGACCTGGAGGAGGGAGGGAGAGTGTGACCTCTGATTACTGGAGGCAGAGGAAAAGGAAGGCCAAGGGGCTAGAGATGGGAAGGAAAAGCCAGAAGAGAGGGCTTGGTGAGGTCACCAAACTGAAAGGTATTTTTAACCCTAGCTGGGGCTAGGCATAGAGCCTGGGAGCTGTGGACAGAATTCTAGTTAGTCTCCAGGAATATTCAGAACTGAGGGGAAGTTGGGGACTGGGGAAGAAATAAATTCAAAGACAGGAGTGCTCACCTTGGAACTACTGTGCAGCTTCTGGTGTCAGGGCCATTAGAAAGGAGGTCTCAGATTTTGTATGATCAGAGCTCCATTTTGAGTTGATTGCAAATTTTCCCTGCATTGAGCTGAGATGCTTTTGTCTAACCAAGCAGGGCTCAAACTATTGGTACATACAGTCCTGAACAGAGCTATAGAGGCTGGGCAGACCCACAGCTGCTCATAGCACCTGGATGCAGAATGTTTACCTTCCTTGCAGCAACAGAGTACCAGCAGCTTTCTGTTTTTCCAAATGTGGTTGATGCATATACATTCCCCATTAGTTCCTTTAGCAGACTTTTTCTTTCTTCCTTTTTCTCCCCTTAATAACTCCCTAATAAGCCTATTTGTTGATAAATCCTTTACATTAAAAAAAAATCATGAAATGCTTCATTTTGGTAATATAAACTCTATTTCCATTCCCCTGCAATCAAATCTGTGTTTTAAATTAAGTTCAGAAAGGGCTGGGGTTGTGGCTTAGTGGTAGAGTGCTCACCTAGCACATGCAAGGCCCTGGGTTCAATCCTCAGCACCATATAAAAATAAAAAAAAAAAATAAAGGTATTGCGTCCAACTACAACTAAAAAATAAATATGAAAAAAATTAAGTTTAGAAAAATCCAAGTATGTATGTTGAAGAGATGCCCATATTAGTCACTGAGAATAAATACAAATGAAGCGAGCACTGTATCACTGAGTCACAACCAGTCAGATTAGCAAAGTTCAAGATCTTGGATATGAGAACAAAATAGTCTGCTTTTCTTTTTTCTCCTCTTTTGTGATACCAGGGATTGAACCCAGGGCTGCTTTATCACTGAGCTACATCCCCAGGCCTTTTGTTGTTTTTATTTTGAGACAGGGTCTCACTGTTGCTGAAGCTGGTTTTGAACTTGTGATCCTCCTGTCTCAGCCTCCCGAGCCACTGAGATTACAGGCGTGCACCACCACATCCAGTTCTATTTTTCTTCTTATACATAGAAATGGAATGGACTGGCACAAACAAAGTTAAGAGGAAAGAAGAGTTGCTACTTAACTATCATATATTCTTATGCTAAAAATGTTGTTTATAAAGTTGAGCACTGATTTTTTTTAAATTGACAGATAGTTACACATATACAGTTATCTCTCAGTACCCATGGGGGATTCTTCTCAGGAACTTCAAGGATATCAAAATCCACAGATTCTCAAGTCCTTTATATATATATATATATATATATATATATATATATATATATATAAAATGGCATTTTATTTGCAAAGAACCACATGTATCCTTCAGTATACTTTATATCACCTCTAGATTTCTTATAATACCTAATGCAATTTAAATGCTATGTAAGTAGTCCTGATACTGCATTGTTTAGAGAAACCCCAAATGGGTTGAAAGGGTTGTTTCCTTGGCCTTTACAGGATGTTTTCATTCAGGACAGAGAGGTCCAGGCTGTGAGATGATATTAAGGAAAGAAAGAAGGAGAAAGAAGAAGGGAAAAAGAAAGAGGGAAAAAGCCACCCCTAAAGCATTTTTTAGAAAAATCTCTGTATGTTTTCAGTACAGATGTAAGATTAAAAAAAATTTCCATGTTGGGTGTGGTAGCCTATAATCCTAGCAATTTGGGAGGCTGAAACAGGAGGATCTCAACTTCAAAGCCAACCAAATCAAACATAAAAAGGGCTGGGGAATGTAGTTCAATGGTAAAGTGCCTCTGGGTTCAGTCCCCAGTACTAAAAACAAAATACCAAAAATCAAAAATGATTTTTATCTTACAAAACCGACTCTACCTGTAAACAGCTCCATGTCTACTCACCCCCATACTCCAACATCATTTGTGAGGAAGGGACTTCAGACCTCACCTCACAGTTTAAACAAAATTAAATTAAAATATATCAAATATATAAATGTGAAATCTAAAATCATCAAACTTGCCTGTTGTAGTAGCTCATTGGTAAGGCACCTCTAGGGTCAATCCCCTATATTGCCCTCTACTCACATACACAAAATTCCTTCTGTGAATGTGGAACCCATGGATACTGAGGACCCACAGTATTTGTGGGGAACAATGTGTTATTATGATACAAATGTACATTGTGAAGTGATTAGATCAAACTAATTGACATATCTACACCTCACATACTTCTAAAACTTGAGCGTTAAGAATAATAGTTATCAGAAACCTGCGGTGAGAGAAGTAAATGGGAAGAGGAGACATTGATCAAAGGGTACAAAGATTCATTTAGGATGAATAAGTTTGTAAGATCTATTGTACAGTGTGGCGGCTATAATTAATAATAATGTGCTGTATATTTCAAAATTGCTAAAA